TTGTTTTTGTTTTTGAGTTGGAGTCTCACTTGGTCGCCCAAACTGGAGTGCAGTGGCTACTCCTGGCCACCGCAGCCTCGACCTGCTGGGCTCCGGCGATCCTTCCGCCTCAGCCTTCCAAGTAGCCGGAATTATAGGCATGCGCTACTACGCCCGGCCGATTTTTTGATTTATTGTAGAGATGATTCTCACCAAGTTGCCCAGGCGTGTCTTGAACCCAGGGGCTCAGGCAATCCACTCACCTCAGCCTCCCAAGGCGTGGGATTACAGGCTGAGCCACCGAGCCCGGCAGCAGAAGTTTTTGAAAGGAGAGTGTAACATCCTGTTCTTGTCTGGCTTGGTTGGTTGGGAGAGAAGATAACGTGGAGGCTTAGGAAAGAGAGTGGATGCCTGTTAAGGGGTGTCCAGTCGAAGGCCCACGGAGACCTGAGGGAGGGGCTGAAAGCCAGATGGTGGCGGTCAAAGGAGCTCTGTGGGAGGCGGTTTGAGACAGGGAAGGCTGAGGGCAGCCGAAGGGATGGCAGAGGCAAGAGAGGATGCAAGGGATGGAGTCCCCCGAGTGGAGAGATTTGAACCGGGAAGAAAACAGGAAAAGATGTCGCAAGTTGAGGAAAGGGGGTTCAGAGCAAAGTTGGGCTAAGTTGCAAGTTGGAGTAAGGGGTTCCGAGCAAAGCCTGTAGAATCCCAGCTGTACTTTCTGGCTGTGAGTCTTCCTTTCCCTGTTTCTTCATCTGTAAAATGGGTATACACATGCCTGTCTCGGAAAGGACTGGGCCCAAAGCTTCTAGCTGGGTGAGCTCGAGCCATGGTGTTCTCAAAGTCAAATATGACAAATTCTAATGCTATGAAGAGCTGGTACCTGGAAACACTTGGTATGTACTGGTCACTGTATCAGCCTTCTGTTTATTAATCTGGACAGTCGGCCTGCGAGGGAAGTCCTCCCATTATGTCCATCATACAGAGAGGCAAACTGGCCCAGAGAGGTTAGGTGACCTGCCCATGGACACTCAGCCAGTAACTGGTAATGCCAGGATTCATTCTGCCTCTCGACTCTGTGCTCTGCCACTTGGTCAGATGCCGCTCAGTCATAATGATAACTGATTTTATTGCACACTCAGTGTGTACCAGGCACTATGCTAACCACTTCTGACCTTAACTCATTTATTTCCATAGTAGCCCTGTGACAGTTGATCTAACTTTTCAGAATCATAATAGCAAACCTCTGCTGGGTGTGGTGGTGCACACCTCTCATCCTCACTACTCAGGAGGCTGAGGCGGAAGGATCGCATTAGTCTAGGAGTTCATTTGAGACTGTAGTGTGCTATGATCACACCTGTCAATAACCATTGCATTCCAGCCTGGGCAATGTAGCAAGACCCCACCTCTTTTTTTTAATTGGAGTCTCACTCTGTCTCTCAGGCTGGAGTGCAGTGACACGCTCATGGCCACTGCAGCCTCGACTTGCTGGGCTCAGGTGATCCTTCCGTCTCAGCCTTCCAAGTAGCTGGAACTACAGGCACATGCCACCACACCCAGCTAATTTTTTT